GGCCTCTCCCGTTGCGGAGCACAGGCTCCGGACGCGCAGGCTCAGCGGCCATGGCTCACGGGCCCAGCCGCTCTGCAGCATGTGGGATCTTACCGGACCGGGGCACGAACCTGTGTCCCGTGCATTGGCAGGTGGATTCTTAACCACTGTGCCACCAGGGAAGTCCCTATTGGCCATTTTTATTTCTTCATTTGTGAATTATCTCAGTACTTTGCTCATTTATCTATTATCCACAATACGACTAGTTATTTTATTACAAAAGTAACTAAAAAGTAATGAAGACATTGTAAAATAGATTAGAACATTTGAATATTTATAGTGTTTTATAACATGCTGTTTAAATAACTCAATCCAATACATTGAGAATATCTTTCTATGTCAACCAGTGTATATCTAAGCCATCATTTTTTTTTTACTTTTTTTTTTTTTTGCGGTTCGCGGGCCTCTCACTTTTGTGGCCTCTCCCGTTGCGGAGCACAGGCTCCGGACGCGCAGGCTCAGCGGCCATGGCTCACGGGCCCAGCCGCTCCGCGGCATGTGGGATCTTCCCGGACCGGGGCACGAACCCCCGTCCCCTGCATTGGCAGGCGGACTCTCAACCACTGCGCCACCAGGGAAGCCCTCCCATCTCCATTTTTTACCACCTACCTGATCTTGGGCCACATTTTAAACTTTCTGTGCCTCAGTTTCTTTTTCTGTAAGATGGGGATGATAATATATGCTTACCAGGGCTGGTGTTGGGATTAAGTCAGTTGATGCATGGGAAGGGATTAGAGAAGAGCCTGCCACCCAGGGGCTGAAATTCAGAAAGCGCCATCCTGTCATTTCTCCTGGGGCGTTAACATCTTTGTGAGATTTGCAGCTCTAACCGGCTCTCCAGGTACAGGCACGATGTTACAGAACTCAGACCTTTTGGCTAGGGGAAAAGCCACGGTCCGTCAACGTTAGCCATTAAAATTATTCATTATAAATGCCTGGTACTGTTTAAAGTACGTTAAATAAACCCAGAAAATGTCAGAGCTAGAAGTGACCTATGACATCAGTCATCTCATCCAAACTCCTGATTTCACAGAGAAGCCAAGGCTGCCAAGACCCCGATTCCAGACAGTAGGAGAGCAGGGGCTTGAAGACCTGAATTCCCAGCCCAGCACTCACAGTGCTTCCCCGGGCCTCTCCTCGAGCTGGCAGAGAGTCCTGCGGGACAGCCAGAGACCCGATAGCTAAGCCGACATCAAACACACGTGTGTGGCACAGGCCCACCTGAGGGTCTGTGCTGTATTTCCAGTCAGTGGCATCAGTGACTGAGCAAGAGAAATTGCTCAGGATGTATATTAAACAAACAGGTAGGTGACATTTCTGTGAGCATTTGTGCAGAGTGGTTGTGAATTGCTGAGTCATCTCTGGGGCAGACGGCATCTCAGGTCTGGGGCAACAACAGAGTGGCTGGACCTGCCCCTGGGGGATGGGCATCTTTCTCCCTGGGTGACCCTCTGCTCTGCTGCGCTTAGCGTAGGCTCGGTACCTGAGCCTCAGATGTCTAATTGACCTCAGTTTCTAGCCCCCTCCCTAGCTGGGGACCGACAGGAAGCCGGGGAAGGGCTGACTGAGCCTCTGTGGGACTTTAGGCTAGAAAAACTGTGTGGGCCCGTGGCCTCAGGGGCTTCTAGCAGGGTGTGTGGTGGGCAGTTATCCTCCCTAGTGATGGGGCTCACGCGAACCCTAGCGGGAAAGCCACAGGGGCCGTCTCTGTCCAGTGCCCCTCTCTGCTTTCCTGCGTCCCCATCCAGCTCTTAACCTCATCCTCTTCTTGAGAATTTCCCTTTCGCTGCCTCCTCTTCTGCCCTCCTGCCCAGCACCTTTCCAGCAGACAGCCCTCTCCAGAGACCACTCGGCAATGCCCCTGACCCCGGTGTGCGCAAGGTTTGACCTGAGAAAGAGAAAAAGACCCTTTTCTCTTGGGGCTTCATCCGCTGCTGGGCTTTGAGTCAGGAAAACAAAGGCAGCTCTGTGTGGGCATGTGGGCGACTGGGCGCTCTCCTTTCCTCCATTCCTCTGCTTCTCCCAGGTGGCTCTCTCAGACCACCCAGCTCACGGCTCTCCCATCTTTTGATGTCGGTTTCCTCTGAACCTTGGAAGGAAGACCCGTCACATGGCACCAGTCCTTTGGCCACTAGTCCCTCTGATGTCTGACCAAGCTGTGAACATCCTCAGTCCAGCTGGCGGGCCAGGACCCGAAGCTGGCACCGTCCCTACTCCCTGCCTGTGGGGAGGCGTGCAGAGCCTTGCCTTTCTGTTTGAAGGTGTCGTTAAAGGCCACAGCTTTCCAAATTCCCTTCCTGGGGAAGACAGAGGAGCAGAGAAGATTCTGAAGTCAGGTGGTCCCAGGGAATGACTCCAGACTTGAGTTTCCCATTTGTAAAGTGCAGACTGCATCAAGCGGATGCGCTGGGGCCCTGACAGAAGCTCAGGTTGGAGGGGAGCGTTATTTCTTCCAGACCGTGAGAGAGGTGACGGGCTGCAGTGATGGCCCCTGATACAGGTCAGGGCTGTCTAGGATGGCTGTCCTGAAACCCCAATATGAGATGTTTCTGCCTGTGACTTTCCTTCCCTTTCTTAAAGACCCGCGAAGAAAGGGTCTCCACATTTGTTCTCAGTGCTGTTCAGCCTTCCTCTTTCAATAGTGGTTTCCACTTGGAAGTCTCTTTCTCTGCTTTCCGCAGTCACCCACCCCATCCCACCCTCCCTCCCAGCCGTAGTCTGAAAGAGTTAACTCAGTCCTCAGCCCCTGCCAGGAGGTCTCTATTTGCCAGTAGAGTCAGCCTAGTATGAGCATTATTGAAATCGCTAATTTATTTCTATAGCTTCAGTCTCCAGCCTGGAATGGAACAGTGAGACCAGAAGTGTTCCAGACACATTGTTTCATAAAGGAGCATTCCTCCAGCTGAACTGTATGGCTGTTGGATTTTCTGGTTTGATTGGTTAACCCTTGGAAGTGATTCGGATTTCTCTTGTTCGAGCTGGTGGGACTGTGGGTGGGGAGGTCTGAGGGTCCATGAGCCCCTCTCGTTGCTGTATCGTTACTCCCCTGACCCTGACCTCTTATCTAGTCAGAAGGTTTAACCTCTGTGACGTTGTCTTCCATTGGAGAACTGGTTAAAGACGTAACTCTCACAAAAATGAGTGTGCTGTACGGTCCCAGGAGAAATGACAGGATTGCCCCTTCTGAATTTCAACCCCGTCGGCTTTGAGAAGGCTGTCGATTTTATTATTGATCATTGAGTTTGATCTGATGCATCTCGCAGAGACTTGGCCCCGCGGTTGGTTGGCAGCAGCTACGCCGATGACGAGTTTTTCCGTTCCCCCCGCCAGATGCGAGAGCTGGTGGGGTAGGCGCAGACGTACTCCTCCCTTCCTTCTGGCACGTCTGATTTGGATACACGCATATGTGGGTTTCTTTGTGTTACTGATGGCATGCTTTAAAAATTGCTCTTGGCATACTGCCCGAGGCAGGGGGACAGGTGGAATGACCTCTGGAAGACCCTTCTTGGTAGAAGAGCTGTGAGTTCTTTTTTCTTGTTATTCTGTGGACTGTACAGGTCTTTCTTCTTTCTTTTCTTTTTTTTTTTCTGGAGATATAGGTGGAATACTATATAACTTAGCCTGGAAGGGATGCCCTGAGGTCACCTGTGTCCAAGTCTCTGGCTCTGGATAGAACCATCGCAAATACAATCTATGATGCAGAAAGCGGGTTCATTTGGGGGGAGTCAGTATCCATCCATCCATCCATCCATCCGTCATTTATCAAATAATTGCTAAAATCTAGGAACTATGCTAATATGCTCCCTATTATTTAATTCCTTTTGGTTTTCTATTCAGTGAGAATAGAAGACCATTCCAGTTCTTTTTCAACTTGATCTTTCTTTTGCACTTGACACAGTTGACCCCTTCTTCCTACTTGATATTTTTCTTCCTAAGGTTTCCAGAGTCTGTGACGTGATCTGTCCCTGCATGTCTGCTCCTGTGGGCATCCTTCTTCTTCTCTTTCATGTGTTCTTTCCTCCTTTCCTACCGTTGGAGTATCAGTGTCTTCAGAGTTCTGTCTTCAGCTTTCTTTTTCCTTCTGCTCTTTAAACACTCTTTCTGGACAATTTCAGCTGTGTCACCATGTGTAAGTTATGATCTACCTGCATATGATGACCCTCAAACACTCTTATTTAGCCTGCATTTGTGCCGTGTGCTCCCGGCTCTTATATCTGTCTCCTGACCATGAATGCCTGCATGTCCAGAAGCATCTCAAACTCAGCATGTCCATAAATGAACTCGGCATCTTCTCTGTCAAACCCGTACCTTCGTGATTCCCCGTCTTGGGGGTGGTCCTGATCATTCTCCTTCTCAACCATGCCAGGATCTGGAAGCCTCCTTAGGCATCTCCTTCCCCTCACACCCCTGGATACTAAGTCATATCAGTCCCATTTCCCATATCCGTTTCCACTGCACCTTCTCCATCGCCACCATCCTGATTCCAGCCCTCACGATCTCCCCTTGCATTACTGCAGTGTCTC